TTCAGTGAAAATTAATTCCAGCGAAAATAAAGTATTCTACAGTACTAAATTTAAACTTGGTGGATACAGTATTTGAGTGGTTGGCAGTGTTGCCTTGGTATGTATAATGACGGTCGGCAAGGGGTATTTTCGTAAGTTGTAATCTATTGTTTCTTGTTTTCGTAATAATTTAATTTAAATAAATAAAAAACGTAAATTTGAAGACATGGGAAAGTTGTAAAATGTAATCAGCTATTTTATTCGTCCGTAATTTGTACAAAGATATTATTTTTTGTAAGCGTATAAAGCATTTTTCAAATTAGAGGTCGTAATTCGTACGCAATTTCCAATTTTGATTATTAAACTCAAATTATCAAATATATATAAATGTAAAATGTAATTAGGAGTTTGCTTTATCTGTTTACCGTCCATAATATACCTACCTTAGCATTTAGTGACACATCATCCCACCATGGTGAAATGAATTCATAATTTGCATTCAGTATTTTCTGGAACATGTATTTATCTCCTCTATCGTCATAAAATGGTTCAAAACCACAAAGGAGGATGTAGGTAATAACGCCCACTCCCCACATATCAACTTCTGGTCCGTACGGTGTACCATGTAGAACCTCCGGTGCTGCAAACAATGTCAATATAAACAGTATGGTACTTTTACAAATTTTAGATAATTGGTTTGAAGATTTAGAACTCACATAAATGATACAAAAGCACAGAAACAAAAATATTACATATCATCAAGACTTTATCTCATAAATCCTTGATATTATAGAACTTTAAAGGGCAGTAGTCGTCGCGGCACACATATATCTGGCATATATGGGTCTCATATAAACAAAAAAGGCGACTTTGACTGTTGCGCTGATCAACGAGTGCAAACTGAGATATTACTAAGCTTTAATTAGGTATTTTTTTAGGTGATTTGAAAGTATCGAAGGAGTCACCGGCCGTAATCAGTGCAAGTCACGCCCGAGTGGCAAACTTCATACTTCCATTAGAAGAGTGCACTGCATTGTGGGAAAATCATGATTATCAACACAAATGTGCACATGCACAGTGAGACGACCACCGCCCTTTAACAAAATAACAATTAAATAAAAATATTTGTTTACTGCAACTAATCACTTATAATAATGTCATTTGACATAAATATAAATATTGTGGGTTATTCTGTAATTATCATTACATCATTCTGGGGACTTCGCCATTATAGTTTCATGGGGCTCATATCCCCCCCAAGATAATATTTTTACTTTTAATAGTTATACTGTTATCTATAGTTGTACTTTTATCTAGATATAGATTTATGTATTTTATTAATACCTCATTAACCATCCATTTGCAGCCATGCTGCTTCAAACAGCTAACTTCGGTACTATAACTACTAACTTCTTGCAGCCAATGCTGCTCCTCCATAGTATAGCCGCAGCCTTCGCTGCCTATACCTCAAATTGCAGTCACGCTACAATCTCTCATTACACTACAGTCCCAGCGGCTGAAGCTTCATTACTAACACAGATTTTTGTGTATTATTTCAGAGTTCTTGCGTTCACATGATGGGGGCTCATGACATGTCCATCCTGGTATATTTCTTGTAAGCCAAGGGATTTCGTTGTGTGCCCCCCTGTTTTGCCAAAGTAATAAACTTTATTAGTCCCCGTTCGGACGTAGTCCGAAAACGGGGACTTATGTTTTGCCCTGTGTGCGTTCGTCCGTCCGTGCGTCCGTCCGTGATCACCTGTATCTCGAACATGCATGGACCGATTAAGTTCAAACTTCACTCATACATCACACATTATATGGGACATATGCACATGCATTTTTTTCATGATCCGATTAACAATAGCCGAATAGCGGCCATTTTAAGGCCGAAAATGCATCAAAATCACACATTTTCACCAATCCGGACACGGATCTCAGTTATGCATGGACGGATTTTGTTCAAATTTGGTACATA